TTCTTATTAGCAGAAAACTTAAGACTATGTGTCTCAAATAATTAGGTTCTATAAATGAGGATTGTGGCCTTACTAATAAGGAAGTGGTACACAAAGTTTGCGGTGATCGTGACGCTTCAACCGCTGCGCGCCTGACTGCTCTCCTACTTTATACTCCAACTCGACCCCAGGGGGTCGAAAATTTCAGGGCTCTCTACTACGGCGTCGCTCATAATCATATGGTGGTTTCAGGACGTTAAATTTCACAAATCAATCAATTATACTCCAAAGGCACTTGTTTTTGGGTGAGTTGGTGCCCACTTAGTGCAGATGACTGAGGCGTAAAAAGCATTTCCTAAAACGGGAAGAGCGGAAGAAAAGAGAGAAAAGCACCAACTTCCAACTATTTAATGACAGCATAATAAACGCACAGGGAAAAAAAAAGACGATTCCACGCATGCGTGCACAGTAACCAACGTCGTACAGCGTCATAGTCAAGGCAATAATCTATCGAAAAAAAAAAACACATTTCTGTGGAATACAACATCTTAGATGTAGCATTGATAAAAGTAGGCCTTTTCTTTCCGATTTTATGAAAAGATTCCTAAATTTTTCTATATTTTTGTTTGCTACTTTTACCAAGAATCTCTGTCTGCTCAAAGCAAGGCACATATCCGCAGGCTTTACAGTGTGCAGAAAGCTGCGCATGAACACTTTTGTCTAAAGTATTAGCATGCTCCCCCAATCGGTCATTGATGCAACGTCCCATTTCACCAATGTAGGGCTTGCGCAACTTAGAGGTGTCTCATATACCACCCCTTGTGGGCAGAGCCTGAAAAGTTTGGTGTGCTGTTTCTGGCAGCCCCTTGGCTCATCGCATATGATACACGGGCTCAATTGAGCTAGCTTGTTGGGAGCTGAAAAAACGACTGAGGTGCCGTAACTGGTAGCCCTATATTTGAGGTTATGACTCACATGGTGCACATAAGAGATCACCTCCTGATTTCTCTCCTTCGGGTGCACGTTTGCATTGGCAGCACTACCTTTCAACTTCTGCAGCAGGGATTCCACCACGAATGGACTGACTGAGGGTAGCCGGCCTTGGAAAACCTTTGAAGCTCAATTAAAAAGCTAGCCTGAATAACATGCTCACATGATCTGCGTAAAGAAAACTCCAAGCAAAGCAATGCGATGCCGTGCTTCACAATCTTTGAATGCGCTGTGTTGTACATTACCAAATCTCGTTTAATACGTGGAAAGTACACACAGTATACGTGATAACTCATTTTCACCAGGTTAAGGTCCAAAAAACTGAAAAGTGCTATATTTCGAAAGTTATTTATGAGCGTTAGCCCCATAGCGTTCGCTCTAAAAACATTCAAGATCAGCTCAGTCATCGCAGGGCATAGAAAATGTCACCTATTGTCAATAACAACTAAAAATTATCAACATATCTAAACAATTTAAGAAAATTTGGATGAGATGAAGTAAAAACACTTCGTAGTGCGTGGTCAAAGGAAGATTAAAAGATCGTCCCATAAAATGGGTGCTACTCGTGACTCAATCCAAATTCCCTTCCTCTGTAAAAACTTGCCATGTTCTAAAGAAACGAAGGTGTAGTTGAGATAGGCTGCTAAGAGGCCAACAAAGTTGGCAGACGACATCTGCATTTTAGTCACAAAGGTGGCCTGTGCACTTTGTTAGATACACTTCTTAACCACTCGAAGTAGCTCCGGATGTGGAACTGAGTAAAAAAGGTCCATTAGATCAGCACAAAAAGGGCAGCCTATTTCATGGCTTCCGCGGAAAAACTCAAATACTTCATCGGAATTTTCGTCAAGAAAGGGTCATGAAGTTCATGAAGTTTGAGCGCTTTAGCGAAAAACAGCTAACCTGATATTGCCAAGTGCCACGCTGACTATTGATTGTGCGGAAAGGTACGTCACTTTTATGTGTCTTAGCACTGAAGAAAGCAGCAAGGCAATCTTTTTCGCACCTGCTTATCTGTTTAGCAAAACTTCCACACCCAATTTCTTCACACAAAGAGACCACAGTTCTCTTACCTTTTAATAGGCTCTCTTTTACAGGCTTGAAGTTCTCGTTGATTGCTTCTTTTCCTCTTTGATAGAAAGGAGTGTCTAGACAAAGCCACTATCCACCTTCTTTATCAGATTGCATTAGACAAAACAACGTGTAGCGTCATATTTGAAAGACAATTAACTAATGAACTTCCGAAAGATAGCACTTTGCAGTTTTTGGACCTTGACCTGACGTTATTTGGTGATCATGTATGCTGTGCGTACCTCCCACGTAGTAAGAAGAGATTTGATACTGTATTACCCAGTGCATTCGAAGACTGTAAAGCGCGGAGTCGCATTGCTATGCTTGGAGTTGGCTTTACGCAGATAACGTGAGCATGTTATGTAGGCTACCTTTTCGGTACAGCTTCAAAGGCTTTCTAAGGCCGGCTACCCTGTCTGTTGTTAGTTCATGGTAGAATTCCTGCTGCAGAAGTTCAAAGGAAGTGCTGCCAATAGAAATGCGCGCCCGCAGGAATAGGAGCGGGTAAAGGCAGAGGTGGCTCGAGAAGGTGGCTACTCGTTGCGACATCCCAGTCGTTTTTTCAGCTCCGAACAAGCTGGCTCAATCGAACCCGCGTATCCCATGCGATGAGCCAAGGGGTTGCCAGAAACAGCAGACTAAACTTTTTAGGCGCTGCGCACAAAGGGTGGAATATAAAACGCCCCTAAGCGGCGGCATTTCTCATACTGGTCAAACTGAACGCTCCATGTTCTATCGTGCTGTTCGTTTAGTTTCAGATTCTGTTTCAATTTTATGTGGTACCTAATGTGACAGTGTAAAAATCAGTTGGTGACGGGACGTGGTTAGTGGCGGACGTGTTTCTTTTTCTTTGCAATGTCCGCGTTTACCACATACGAGACAAGCTCGGTTCCAAGCCGGACACTGAACAAAGTTCGCTAAGTGGCGAACTGATCTACAACACTTCGTGTAACCACCAAACAAACACGGTCACTGTTTTAAGTACGGCTGGTAGCCCTAATACGTCTTAGCCTACCGTTGTCGCAACAGTATTATACATAAATGTTGTTGAAACACTGCTCCTGTAGTGCAACATCGAATACATCTGTTGTGATGGTGATGGGCAGCTTCTCATTGAAAATACTGACAACTGGCTTCGAGGCCAGGATTGACGTGATTCTAATGAAGCTCAGTTCAGCGCTTCAGCTGACCAGGCAAAAAGCTGTCCTTCCCGAAGTATCATGCACACTGGTTCAACCGTATCTTCATAATGTGACACAAACTTTGCCTTGTAACCAATAAGACAAAAAATGACTGCAACATTTTGGCATTAGTAGGTCATGGTGTATTCACAATGGCCAAAACGTTTGAATCAACAGGTGTTGAGCCACGGGAACTGAGCATTTGGCGCGAAAATTGCAATTCACTCTTTTTTCTTTACAACAACGAGTGAAGACGCCCAGTTGGAAGCGGATACATTTTCGATGATTCATCTGGGTTGTAGACAGAAGCGTTCTGCAGAAACTTACTCACGAAGCAGAAGTGGAACGAGTTGAAGTTTAGCAGGAACCGGATACAATGTAGGTTGACGCACCACTTTATGTATGAATCTGCGCACACAACCCAGTTCACGGGTGAACTGCTGACAAAATTTACTGGGCACGTTGGCCGGGAGATCTGGTTTCACGTCGACTTGAGAGCAAGTCACGGAAGCACCGAAAATGTTTATGGATAACGCCTGTATAGCATCACGACCCAGAGAGAAGCTGCCATTTGCAGTGACGTAGAAAGCGATAGAAGCAGTACGACTGCAATACCTGGCTTGTGCTGTGAAAGACCCCAAATTGTCAATTGTTTCTTTGAAATACGTCTGCAGAACGATGTGCGAAGTAGAAAGCCTAATGTTTGCAAAACGTCGATAAAAGGCACAAGCGCCAATTAACGAGATGGATGCACCACTTTCTACGCGAAATGTTAAGGACAACATCGCCCACTTTTGCGACAAAGGTATAGGCGCAGACGGTGTGTCGTGGCAAGCTGCCACAGGCATTTTCGGCGTTTTGCGGCTCTCTTCTTAGTCGGCGTCGTGGCCAGCCAACGCCGACACAAGATTTATTCAATGACAAATTGAGGGAGCATGCCAATAGTTTAGACAAAAGTAATCATGTGCAGCTTCCTGCGAATAAAGCCAGAGGATGTGTGTCTTGCTTTACGCAAAAAGTGGTGAATCTTGGTAGGAATACCAAAAAAAAAAAACAAACAGCTGGAGAGCTCTTGGAAGCTTTTTAGAAAATAAAAAGTCCCCCTATAACACCGCAATGAAACTTGGTAGTGATGGTGGGATCTTATTACTATTTCAGCAGAGCAGACCAACGCTAAACGATCAGGCTACAATGGCACGCATATTAGGGTTGTGGCTTGTGGAAGTTGGTTGGTGCTTATATAAAAGAAAAAAAATTGCGCAAAATGCAGAGAGGAGACCAAATGAAGGCACGGAAACAGCGCGAAAAACTGCACCTTTTAGGATGTTTTTCTCTCTTATAAGGCATGCATACTTCCCTTGTTCGATAGACTCGCTCTTTGAAATGCTTAGCACAGGCGTCCCGGGTCAGTTTCTCGCAAGTCTGCTCTCGCAAAAGCTAGCGCATAGATGTGCTACATATATTACAGACTGCATTGCTTGCGAGACAGGCGCATATTGAAGAACGTTATACCCCCAAAGTGGATGAAATCCACATATAACGCTGTCGCGATGAGAAGGTACCGGGTGGTAGGTGCCCGCAGCTTAGAACTGATCATTGGGGTTCCTTTAACGCACACATATGTCCATAAATGTACAGGCGTTGTAATTCGCTTCCGTCTAAATGCGACTGCCATGGCCCCAAATCAAGCCTGTCACCTATGATGGTGAAGCGCCGTATCCCATCAGCCAGCGCACAGGGTGAACACAGCTAGTGCCGGCATAAGATAAAAACACTAACCTGAATTTTTCGCATCCACGTTCAGGACGTCGCGTGGAAGGACCGAACAAGAGCCAGGATGATTCCCCCCGCCCGAAGAGACGTGATTTTCCTCTTCTTTGTCGCGTGACAGCGGCTGCTCGAGCTCTGACGCTGCAGTTAGGAAATAATTTTTGGACCGATACCCGCTACAGTGGACAAGCGGTGTACACAGTAAAGAGGCTGATACGTTTGTTTGTTTTTCCTTTCAAACTTACACTACGTACTCTCTCTGGCGTATTGGACAAGAATGAGTAGTTGGAAATTTGTAAGGGCATTGGAAGAATATTATAAGATTTTAATTAACAATAAAAACAAGAAATCACAATAATACGTAATACACTAGCTTAAAACTACAAGGAATATGCTATTGAGCTCGTATTCCTTACTGCCGTATTAACCTGAACAAAACAACTTTTACGAATTAGTAAGATTTTTGCGCCTCGAGCATTGTTTGCAGTGCACGTGGCCCACAAAAGCATGAGCTGATTCGATTTCTGTTTCCCTGAGGCAACCAGCACTTAGGCAGCGCCGGTTTGAGCATCATGTCTTAGCATAGAGGTGGGCAGAATAATCAGTATGACAACGTGTACGAAAATTGTGAAGCCACACCTTTAGAGTGGGGATTTATTCATTTCCTCTTTTGTTCATTTCACCACAATGTAAAGTGAACTATATAGCTACGTTCAGAAAAATTTGCTCTTGTCTGAACATGAAAAGTCTAGAAGACTGTGTGCTATACTTCGTATATATTAACTATAAGTTTCTAACCGTGACACTAACACCGATGACAACAATAAGCATTGTTTGTTTGTCGTTTTTGTGCTCACGATTATGAGTACCCCATATGCTATTCAGTATAGTTATTTGTTTATTACATAGTTTCAAAGTCTGCAGACAGTGCAGAGGAGAGTGGTTGGTATATGTAGGGCCCACAAAAAACAATACGCATGATTTCATTCTGGTGAGACCGACTAGGGAAGCTTGGTTTAAACCAGTAGGGAAGTGTGGTGCTGCGTTCTGCCATTCTAACGTAACCAGTCACAAGTTTCCTCCAAACATTGCGCCTGGATAGACGTGCCTTTAAAAAAACAACGTTTATTGTGAAAGCAAATATATGGACACTCTCAGTTGGATGTCACCGTCGGCGCCGGCGTCAGCATCGATGTCATGCACCGTATACGTATACGTATCTATGTATACTAAAACGCAAGAAATAAAACAAAATCCCAGAAAAAAAAAAGACTCCGGCAAGCGGAATTGAACGTGGGACCTCCGCGCCGTGAATGCGGGGCGTTACCTACTAAGCCACCGAGAGTTCTTTTTTTGTGGCCTTGCATATCAAGATTGTTCAAATTTACTGTGGTGAAGCCTTCGAACAGTGGGTTGTCCTCTCCAGCGCCTTCTAGTGGGTTGCCCTTTTTAGCAAGAAGAAGAGCAGCTCGTGCAGAGAGTCGGTACCCGCATTGACTGTCACTGTCAAGCATCGTCGACAACCGTCCGCCAATAAACGTCTCAACAATTTGGTGGAGGTGCGGGTCAAAATATTTTACATGTTGGTCAAAATATGAGTGCGTCATAAAATACACCCACAGAATTTATTGATGTACTGTCAGCTCTTAGATGACTATTGATCAATACTTCGGCATTCTTAACAATTGCTCAATGCGCCCAATACAGTCCGGTACATCCTCTTGGCCCTTCAGCACTCCAAGAAAATGGCACACAGATTCGCAAAAATATTGGCGCACACACAGCGCTTCAAAGTCCGCGTTTTCAAAGGCACATTGGGTTTTCCATATACTGTGCAGGCCCAGAAGCGTGATTAGATCATAAGGTGCACCTGCCTCGTTTTTAACCGAAAGACAACGGATGCCATGTGGACTTAACGGTAATTCTTTTTTCAAGGTTTTTCGCAATATGTCCTAGAAAAAGACCCCGCTCCAGCAATCATAAACACGTGTTAAATTGTTTCCGGTTTACTACACAAGTGGCAATATGTGCTCCATGGCACGAATATTCCCATATTCTGCAACCACGTTTTAACTGGTAAGGTACCAGTATGTAATTTAAAGAAAAAAGTTTTGACCCCTGGTGCTACAAGCATTATTTTAACACGTTTCAGAACGTCCTGTCCTGGGCCTGCACAATATAGCTGATGGTTCAATGGTACAGTCAGTAAAACATCGACAAGGTCTTTATACAATTTTTACGTGGTACTTCGGCCAGATACTCTAACGAAAATCTAAGCCACCGAGAGGTACCTCCTTCAACGTTCAAATAGCAAGCTATTCATGTATACCACTTACCGCTGTTGGCGGCATCTCAAGGGGGGGAGGGGACTATCGTGTTTGCAGCATTATAAGCAAGATGGCGCAGTGAGCGGGCGGCGACTCTTATCTCTCACGCGTACTTTGGCCAACGTAGAGAATAAAGGGGTGTACGCTCGATCGTGCGCCCTTATCTTGCAGTGAGAAAATTATACGTCTTGGCTCGCCTTTGAGCTTTGTCGGAACGATTCTGTTTTAGTTACCGGGCGCACAAAGGTCACTGCATTTATTGCACAGCCTCCGTTTGCGAAAAGGGCGCGCTTTTCAGACAGGGCAAAGTATAAACTGAGACACTTATTTGCGTTCATTTGTATCTGTGAGTAGGTTTTGTGTGTCCATTGTGCGTGAGAAACATGGGGCACGTTTCAATCTGCTTGCCATTCTGCACATGACCTTCCAATTTGCTGCTATCGCGTTCATTGCTGTATACATGTGAAGCTAGCAAAACGGCCGCGAACGCATCATGAGCGTGGTATGTAGTCATGTTCTTACATGGCACGCATCTTAAGGTTGTCATGTTTCCGCCAGTCATGTGCCATCGTGATTGATTAACGTCCCGGCGTAAGTTCAGCAGATTCTACAAAAGGGCCTATCGCTATCGAAACATTACTCTAGATCAGAATTGATTGCGATTGCACTGTGAGCCAGCTGGCTTTATTGAACCACGCAATTGAATGAGCATGCTGCAAGGTGTGGCTTACCGTGACATGAATGTCACTTTTAGGTTTGAATGAAAATACAAGCGTCCAGCGTTTGATAGGCAGCATGGAACTTAACAGGCGCTGGAAGGAGAGGGATCAGTGTTCGAAGCGGTTCCTCTCTTCACCTGTAGCTTGAAAACTCGAATGTTGGCAGGGTTGGTCCTTGCAGGCGGGAAAATTGCCTTTCGTACACTCTAGTGTTAACCCATTTATATCTTATTTCACATAAAACAACATCCCCTACACTCTCCTTTGCATTACTGTCTGTCTATTTAATATTGTGTCTAACAAAAAAAAAATGAGCCCTTGAAATATCCCTTCTTCCCTTCATGGGATGAACAAGCGATAGTGGCTATAGAGTTATTCTGGTGACATAACTGTATGCAAGAAACCCCATCAGCCAAATTTGTGAGTCGGAAGAAAAACGACGGCGCACATACTTTGACGTCATAACGGCAACTTCCCACACGTGTTTTCATACCGCTACGTAGTAATTTAAAGCAGACATAAGTGAACCGTTCGCGCATTCATTTGTTGTCATGAACAAGGCTCCTTCACGGAGATTAAAACATCCTGCTTTGATGTGAACATTCGCATTCCGTGTTTATCTTCACCCCATGTGCTTGAACTAACAACAGTAATAACAACAACATATAGGTAATAGAATGACATCATGTTTTTGCAGAGCAGGGTAGGAGTAAAAGTTGGGTGATTCCACGAGAGATCAACACGGGTCCTAAAGTTGATATTTTAGATTTCATTGAGTATTTTATATTTCGTGCACCTCTCACCAGGTAGCCCGAAAGTCAACTTTGTTTCATGATTAACAGCATAACTTACGAGAAAAAAAATATCAAACTTCACCAACACGGAGGCACCAATTTCGTCACCTGTCATTTTCGAAAATTGCAGATGCTATAAAGAGACAAATATTTTTGTTTCACGGAAGATATTTTTTACCTGAAATGCATGTATAATGAAGAATGAATTCATATGGTTTCAAGTTTGTAGACCTTAAGAAAATTGATTTTAAAAATCTCTAATTTTGCGACAGTTTAAAGTAGGGTACGTCTTCCCCATTTTTTTTTCTCCGAAAGTTATGCAAGCAGCGTTTTCAAACTTGACACGTTTTAAGGATATAGTGTGTTCATTAGGTACATAAACTATTGCTGACGTAGGCCAAATGTAAATCTTTATATATTGCCTCAAAGTTCTCATATTGGCAAAAGTGTACTGCACTGAAATTCGAATAATGAAAAAAAAAACCATCTTCGATTTTTCTTCCAATCTCGTAAATAGACAACCGAAGGCCATCATACAGTAATATAGAAAAATATGTTGCATTATTTTTGTTTTTAGCGACAATATTCGTGGTACAAATCAGAGCTTTTCGAGAATGCGCTGATAAGTTGAGAAATCTAGAAATCGGAACGGAAAAGCGGCAATAAGCTTCAAACGCGAGTAAACGTGACCGCATTTGGTGAACCGCATTTGGTGATACTTGCGCGCAAGTATCCACAGTGCAAATGCAAAACTGAAGTATAGTACGTTAAAACGAATTTCACAATGTTTTTGTCGATAAAATTACGGGAGGCGTAATCTTTGTCCATACTTAACCATATGATCTAAAGCATTGCCTCAGAGATGCGGCGCACAGCAATTCATTTGTAGAGCAGACGACGGATGACAACTTGCCCTAAAGCGTTTTCTTCAGTATAATGCGGCAGTATTCGTGTCCCAAATGATAAAAATTTGTTATGAATCGTTTATGAACTCATTCAGCGTTCAATTCTCTTACCAAACGTGTGCAAACACATGGCCGTCACAGCAGCTCCATCTGTGTGTCAGTAATGAAGAGGCACCACATAATAGAAGTCTGAGTGTTCTACGTATAAGAGTGAATTCAGATACTGTAGAATAGCGTGTTCAAAATAATTACTCCTATCTGCTAAAACAGCCTTTCTTCACCAAATGCGGTCACGTTTTTTCGCGTTTGAAGCTTATTGCCGCTTTTCC